ACGACCTTGGTTTTACGTTTCATCCGAAGGACGGCGCCTGTTTACAGTATAGTGTCCCCATCACTATACTGGGGCATTAGGACCCACATGGACTGCAGGGTGAGCGCCCCCTGCTGGCCCCACTAACACCTCTTCCAGCAGAAGAGTAGTGAACAGAGGCAGAAAACGAAATTCAAATCGACTTAGACAGAATTCAAGACTAGACAAAACACCAGACAGAAGACATTTAATGTTGACAAGTGCAGAGTGCTACATGCGGAAATATCCAGTTAAGGTTTTTTAGCCATTTGCCCTGCTTCAGAACACATTCCAAACAGGAGCCTCCAGAAGAGGAGGAAGGTAGTACCCAAGCCTGAACACATTGTGGTCATTTCTCCTTCTAGACATTTTTTTGCGATTTCATTAGAGCAGAGCAGAACTCCAGGAAATCAAATGATATGCTAGGCTGTTGTATAATAAAGTGTCTGAAATTATGATTTGAATTTTGAAGCCAAGCAGAGCCCCTGGGTTCTTTTCTGCAAAGAGAAAAAGACGAGAGAGCGGGGGAGTGACAGACTGATTGAGAGTCCTCTCCTGTTTAATTAACTTGCCATGAAAAACAAGGGAGTTTTCCACCTCTCTCAGCAGGTGGATGTGACTCGTGGCCAATCTCAGAGCTACAAGGAGGGCAGAGCTGCCAGCCTTGGGCAGCAGCACCATCAACAGTCTGTTCCACCAATCAGAAAACCAACAGAAAATTCCTCATCCTCTGACAACCGCAATCACTAAACCAGCAACACCAGCAGACATAGCTGCGATTTAAACAGCAGGAGAGGATAATACCAGTCAGGATTTCAGGAAGAACTTGCTATTCTGACAGAGGCTGAGAGCAAGGTGGTAATGTATACACAAATACAAACACAGTGGATGTGCCTGAGAGTGAACTCTTCTGGACAGTAGAAACAAATAACTTCCTGCTCATGGGCTAAGCGAGTGGCTCAAACAGTAATGACTCTTGATCTGAGAGTTTATACCTGGGCTCAGATACGAGTGGAGTCAGTATGTCATTTCTGGGACTTCATCTGAAAAAGACTGCTCTTCCACAGAAGACCTTACAGGGTCATGTCATCTCAGGTGCAGGCGTGCATACAAAGATACATACATTACCTACATGACCAAATCCATATATCACCAAGCAATAAGCACTTGCATTATTAATTAAAACTGTTCACACACATTGTGATATTAACCCTCCCCACAGCCACCAGCACTTCAGTCCTGATGAAAGATTGGCATCTGCACTCCATCATCGAACCCCAGCCAAACCGCAGCCCTGCTCTCCCCCCTTCTGGAGCTGGTCGCCCAGCTGGAGAGGGGCTGTAGCAGAGGGCTTCCAGTGGTCGTGGCTCTAGCTTGTCATGATACACTGTCCAGGCTAAACACATTAAAGCATTTAGCCCTGCATATTCTCCATAAAACCCCATTACGGCTTTTCCCATTATGTGATTAGCATTATAACATTGGACTTAACCGCTGTAACATAACACTGAACAACTAGGGGATGACATCAGGAGCAAAGCTATGGTCCCACTGCCTTCTGCCACAGAGCAAAGGCAAAATCTTATGCAGAGACACTGGATCACATCTGATCCATCCTGTATGCAAATCCAGTGGTTCTCTAAGATTCAGGTTTCCCAGGTTTTAAGGGAAGGGCCAGCGTGCAGAGATATGACAAGACAAGGGAAGAGAAAGGTTACAGAGAGAGGGGGCGATTCGCCTCAGTGGTTCAAGAGTTCAATCAAGGACCCAGGCAGGCGGCGCCCATCACGTGGCCAGCGAGTTTTACTGAGCCCCTGCATGATAAAAAACGAAGGATCTTGCACCAAACAGGAAACAGATACCTTAATTTATGACCGGTAATGAATCGATCTAAAGGGAAATACTGGACCTGATATTTTTAGCGTCTCATTTATTTGTACACATTTATACAACTGGGCACTGCCCTGGTGCGATCTTTATGTATTAATAATCTCAAGTCCTATTATTAATCCGTATGTTTATACCTGTAGGTTTCGTCTCACACCTCTCTTCACCACTCCTGACTTCACACCTCCTGATTGGCCACTCTGCTCCCGCCTCCCGCTCCTCCTCTCTCCCAGCTTTTGTTCTCCCACTACATTACCTTTGCCTACTGTCTTCCTCACACCTGATCAAGGCCCCACGGCAGAAACGTTGTGTTTTCTTTCTTCTCTTTTCAGCCTGGAATAAACCTCTTACTTGTTCCTTTGCAGCCTCCGCCTGCTGACGCAGCTCCCCACCTGAACTACTTCAACCTATTATTATAATCTTCTTATGAGCCCTAAGAGGATACAAATCCCCTTTATCCACTCAGAGCACTTCGCTCTCTTGTACAACAGCAGGGTCTCGCTCGGGATTTGAACCCACAACCTTCCTTTCAGGGTCCCCAGCTCACTGCTGCACGGTGGTGGGGTCTTTTCGGACTCAGACAAGCCAGGTTTCCTCGATCAGAAAAGGCTGGCCTGGAACATCATTCTTATCCCTCCTGGATGCCCCACAGCAAGGCTGACTATCATCCCGTTAGCCCCTGGCTGGACCACCTGCTGCCCGGCTGAGCTCCTGGCACCCTGTCCTGCCTTCAACACGCCTCGCCCTCCCCTGCTATTCACCAGCGGGTTCGGTCACGGCGGGCACTGGTAGCTCACAGCACGTAACACCGCTGCTGCTGTTGATAAAATGAGCAGAAAGGACAGGAGTCGGCTCAGAAGAGCTTTTTACGTCTCCTGGAAATCCTGAGCTGATCCGTTCTCGTCTTTCATCGTGGGGCTTTAAATATTTCACTGTCTGTCTGCTTCAGCAATAGGAGCTGCTGGGCAGGAGGAGCATCACAGGGGTACAGGCTGCTCTGCAAGCTTCACAAACAAACTCACTGGTGCCGGTGTGCCACCTGCCGAGCCCCCCGCGGGTCCGATCCCAGGGATCCCAGCACCCACAGAGCCGGAAATCTGCTCCGAAACACCAAGTGCCACTGGGGACCTTTTTCCGAAAAATTATAAAAAAAACCCCAAAGAAAACATGTCAACTGCTGCTTCCGAATTATGAGTCAGCATCCTGTAAGATTTAGGATGACACTTCAAAACATCGGCATGTCCTGTGTTCGTCAGAGAGCAGAGAGCGCTGTAGTCTGGGGTCTGGGAGTCCAGGTGTGTGTGGGTTTCTAGCCCCGGAGGAGCTCTGGCATGCGCCAGCCCTGAGCAGAGCAGGACAGCAGGACCAGCTCTGGAACGACAGGTCCTGTGTGCCAGGGGCTGCCACGCAGAGGAAGCAAAGGAGACCGGAAGTAGTTCACACGTATGACGCAGGCCAGCTAGAACGCGGCACACATCCATGTCCGTCTGTCCCGGACCTCTACACACGACCTCCCCCGTAACGGTGAAGCAGGCTGCCCCCCCTTCTTTAAATGTACCCCTTTTTAAACAACATGCATCACTGCACAAAACCAGCGACGACACAGACCTTCCTCTGGAAAGTACCTGCAGGGAGTGGACACCAATTACCCCATATTTCCTGCAAGGTCACCTCAGCCCCCACCAGTAGGAGGCGCTGCAGATATGGTCTGACAGGCCTCCTGTGTGGTGAATCAGGCTGGTCACCTTCACCTCCGGCGCCCCTGGCATCACCACACACGATTCCACACGGGTACCCTGGGACATCCCGTACAGCGAAGCGTCCCCAGAGAAGCTCAAATTAACTTCAAGCTCACAGGCAGCCGATATAAATGTTCATTCCTCCAGCGCCAACCCCGTACAAGCAGTACGCAGTCTGAACTAAAGGAGGACCTGCTCGCAGCAGCTGATCATGAAAGACAAACTTCTTGACGACTTCGCCAGCAGACAGAGTGTCAATGGGAGGCAGGAGAGACGGTGCCATTTTAATTCAGGAAGAAGGGGCACACAAACAACACCTCCTGCTGGCTTGAGGAGCTCGACTCTCGCCTGTTCCGACCAGTTTGTGCTCGAAGCCATCAATGCCGGGCTTGGAGCCCCTCACCAGCGTCCGCCAGTCTGAGGGAGAAGACCCGGCTGCATCGGGCATGAACAGGGGACTGCTCTTCAACTCCCCAAGCACAGCCCTGTCCTTTACCTCATTACAACCATTCTGGCCTCCAGACACTCGGGTTTGAAGAAAGTCCAACTTTCCTTCTTGTCCATCATGACGACGTGCACGATCCACGGACTCAACATCTTGTCACCAGAGCAAACCCCAAGAAGCCTGTCGAGGGGAAACCCAGGAGTGCCCTAGTCACCCCTGTGGGGCCACACGGAGCCCCTGGTCGCCCCTGTGGGGCCATGAGTTTTCCTGTTGGAGCAGAAACCAAGACTGTCACTCAGGTGGCACGAGCGTGAGGCTCAGGCCAGAGCTGGGTCCTGCTCAGCTTCTCCGAGACGGATGCCGAGCTGCTGACAGTCCCCTGGAGGACTGGGTGGGACAGAAGGAGCCCCGCGCAGGCGGCTCTGCCCTCTCTAACGACTGAGAGACCCCGTCCGGTCTCCTGCTGGCAGCTCAGCGCCCCTCCTGCAGGGGGCGCAGTCGCCTGCGGCAAGCGAGCGCATCAGCGACCCGCGGCTGCCGGAGAGAGCGTGGCTCCCTCATGCCCAGAGGGCGATCCGGATCTGATCCGTGCTGCCTCCCTCGTCCACGCTGCCATCCGGGACAGCAGCCCGGGCTCTGCCGCGACAACTATGGCCAGAACGTCACTGCATAGCCTGCGGCAGTGTGGCTCGGACGGTAAGGAGCATTACGCTGCAGGACAGACTCACGTGTTCGGGCTGTTTGCAGAGAGCGCCCTGCGGTGTCAGTTATGTGTTATTGCAGTTTGCCAGGACTAATGTAGCTCTTTCTTGGCCTACGATACTACGAGACAAGGGGTTCCCCCGCCCTTCTCTCTCTCACCTGTCGCAGGTTCTTCAGCAGCTCCGTGGCCTCGTCCTGCTTGCCCTGCTGGGCCATGGCCATCATCTCCTGGATCATGCCGACGCGCCTCAGGTAGGGCGGCGGGGTCGCGCCCTTGCCGAAGCGCTCCCCGGGTTTCAGCACCAGGGAAGCGAAGATGTCGCCGCGCTCCTTGGTCGGGGTGCGCTTCCAGGAGGCCGGGCCGTGCTGCGGGCTCTCCCCGCTCTCCGGACCGCCGCCTTTCGTCTGCTTGGTGCCCATGGCGTCGGACTCTCCAGCGGGAAACGCGGACACCGGCCCCGCGGTCGCCTCATACAAACTTTTTTTTTATTATTTTGTGGCGGCTGTTATTCAAATAATGTTGTTTACGGAAAGTAGAAAGAAAGAGAGAGAGAGAGAGGGAGGGAGGTTTCGCGGGCTGGGTAAAAGGAACAGGCGGCCGCAGTGCTGTCGCGGCTCGGGTACGGAGTCGAGCGGCTACCCCGCTCGCGGAGACGGAGCCGCCGTGCCGGTGACTGCCGAGCCCCCCGCCGCGCCGCGGGCTGCCGAGAAAATAAACTGAAATTCCCACTCTCGCCACGAGAACACGAGAAGTAGGTTATCCGTACAAACGAGCAGCAACTGTCACTCCCTCCTGTTGACCAGACGGGCTCTTCTTTACAGCGGGCAGCGGGTTACTCGTTTTCCACACAAACGTTTATCGCCGTAAATCATTGAATTCCCAGTTTTGTATCGCGGATTACATCGCCTTCGTGAGCGTTATTCCTGGCCAGGCGGGCCCATTTCCAGCTGCACACTAAGTAACTCCAGAAGTTCAGGAATCCTCTGAACGCCACAGTTAACTCGGGGCGAAAGAGTTTGGGTGAAAGAGCCGATCCCCGTCAGAAAATTCATCCGCACACAGCCGCGATCTGGCCACAGCGATCTGAGTACAGCCCACACGGCCGAGCCGGTCCCGCAGCGAGTTCACCATCTCCCGGCCCTCCGACCCGTCACGGCATCCCGGGACTCCCGCCTCCCCTCGCTCGGCAGCACCACATCCTCCGCGGGAGAAAAGTGCAGTCAACGGCCTCGACTCCGCCGACGAGGCGACGTCTCCCGCATAGTTTTGTGCGGGTTGAGCCAGGGAAAGCGGCAGGAAAGACGAGCTGTACGCGGAGTTAATGGGCTGACAACGAGTCGAACCGTCCGAGACAAATCCGGACGGATCCGTTCCTCTTCCCCGAGACTTGGGTTGTAGCTGCCGGCTGGCTGCGCCGCAGGAGACAAGTTGAAGCAGGCGGCCGCCGTGAGCGAGAAAGTGAGAGCGCCGGGGCGGAGAGGCGCAACTCCTCCACAGCGCCAAGTGAGCTCTGAAGGGATTCCCCCGGTACTCCTGCTGCACGGTGCGTCCTCTCCCCGTCACTCCCGGAGAGGACTGCTCCTCAGAGTCGCGCTGGGAGACGCAGAGATGCTCTGGGTGGACGGAGACGGAGGAACAGGGAAGGGGGGTGACGGAAACACTGTTGACTTCTCAGTCCGCCGTCGCTCCCGCAGGTATCGCGCTTCCCGAGGAAAAGCTCCACAGATTTGTCAGAGGGGGCGGCTCTCTCGTCTGGTAGGTGTAGATACTCTGCCTGGCTCGGCTTCGTATCGGAAATGACAGTGTCCTCAGGGAGGCAGATAGGAGATTAAAACAGCCGCCACGCCTCAGCCCCACTGAGCGCCGCGTCCGTCCCGAGACCCACCTGCACGCGCGACTGGCTGGCAGCGGGGGCTCGCGCCTGCGAGGAGCGAGGAGCGGGGAGGGGTCGGGCTCGTGCTGCGCTCCTGGGCGCGCGGCAGCCGCTGCACGGGGACTCGGGTCCGTCCGGAAACTGGCTGTGGCAAAGTCGCGTGAAGAAAACCTGCGATCCGACCACATCAATGCGCGTAAAACTCCAGGCAAAGGAGCTACAGCCCAGCGCTCCAAAACACTGGGAAACTTGGGCGCAGGGGTGAAGTGACCTATCTCGTCAGTTTGGGGGGCATATTGCTAGCCGTGGGTAGAGCAGCGTGAGACTGATTGTTTGAAACAGCTCTTCACTTGGTCTGAAGAAGCTGGTCGATGCTGTGTTCGGTCACATATTCATCATCATGGTGGGTTATTTTTTTTCATTTTCTGGGAAGGAACTGTGTGAGCTGTTTATTGTACGTATTCCAGACAAAATACAGTCGAGCCACGCAGATGCCGAACAGACCAAGGGGATCGCTGAAGCTCTTCTCGAGTCGGATTCGTGGCGATCCTGCAGCTGGGATCGACTGGGGTCCCCAGAGATGGGTGCTTTCGTGTACTGTTCAGCCCCGGGACACGGACGGACTTGGGACTCTGTTTCGAAATTCTTGCAGGTCTCCCCGAGTTGTCGTGCAGGGCAGCGATCGTATGTTTCCCGAAATATAAAATAAAGTTCTGTCTTATTTGGAGTCTGCAACGGGTTTCTTCTCCGGCGAGCGGGGATGGGAATCCGCGGTCAATGGGGACCGAGAGGCCAGTCCAGTCCAGTCCAGTCCAGTGCAGCCGGAGGACGACTCATTCCGGGCTTGCCCGCGTAACGCGCTCGCTCTCTGCCCACGAAATTCACACGCCGCGTTGTTAGTCAGCGCAGGTGCCACGGCGTGTGTCATTAACATTCAAGAAAACGTAAACACTCATTACGATCAATATTCAAATGAATGCAGGCCAGTATTTCTGCTGCGGACGTGACTCAGGTCTGTAATGACCTGAAAACGCTGCCTTGCGCTGGTTCTGCTGGCAGGGTGTCTGATCCCGGGAAACCGGAGCGCTTTTCCTGCTGTTCCAGCGGGACCGGAACGTAAACAAATCCCGACTTGTCCCCCGTGAGCCACGATTTCTAAAAAAAAACAAAATCTGGTTTTTCCATCCGTGTTGGTGACGAATCAACAAGAACACTCGTGAAAACGATTGTATCCGGGGTCCCAGTTAAGACGGGAGGGAAGTAAGAAAAATTCCCATCGTTACCCTCCTCCAATATGGGGGTGTAAATAGTTACAGATTCACAACTTCAGGGGGTCCGGAGAAAATAGCAACATGATTGCAGGTCTCCTTCTTCTGCAGTTCTCTCTTTGACTGTCGGTTTATCTATGTCTGCAATAAATGTGTCAAAGCCCAATGTCCCCACGTGCTTTGGTCCCAGTGTCCTTCTCTGACCCTTCCTGTACTGTCTCTCTCTCTGGACTGTGACGGGCAGAGTCAAGCTCAGTGAAAGACCCACGCAGTGCTTGCTCTCTTCCTTCAGCATGAGAGCACGCAGAGAAACAAGCTGCTTTTTGTTTTTGTTCGGGGAACGGTTTAACGACCCGCATCAAAATATTGAGGCTTTGGGTGAGCTGGGAATTATCATCACAGTGTCGCAGCGTAAGTATAACCTGCAGGTAAGACCTGCCTGTCAGGAGCACTGAATCCATTAACAGCGAAATGAACAGCACTTTGAAGTACGGAAGTCGGAACTGGCTGCATTCGTGTTTCCTTGGTGAGGTGCATTAGCTCTCGGAAACATCATTGGTGATTCTGCTGGTGTGATTGTTCATGCTTTTTTTTTTTCTCGCAGATGTGCAGGTTGTTACGGACGGTGGGTGGTGAACTTTAATTAAAATGCAGTAGACAGATCACCAAAGACTACAGACATGCTAATTGCAAAAAGGAAAGTTCCCCCAAGCTGCTACAGGTTCTGGAATGGGGGGGCAGCAAGGTCCCCCGTGTCAGACCAGAAAAAGAGTCTTTCGAAAAATGCCATATTACCTTTTCTGCTTTTGATTTCAAAGATCATGTAACCTACCAGTATATAAAAAATACCTTTCCAGCTCCAACATATCCTGGATCAGTGGTGCTGGCCTGAGAATCTGATTCTCGTATTCTTGTCCTTAATAAATTAATTATAATGACCCTGTGAAGAAAAGACCGTGTTAAAGAAAAAGATAGAAATGAGCCCAACTTCAGTAAGGACACAAGGTCACCCTCTGATATTTAAAAGATGTGCGTGTGGGGCTTAAAACAGAGGACCTCTCTTCACACGAAGAGCTGCAGGGGTCTTCGCAAGGGAATCTGAAGCTGACACTCAATGCAGGATGGGATTTTCAGATCAAGTAGCCTCCTTTTGAATTGTAATAGGCTTTATCAATTCAATTTATTTTTATATAGCGCCTTTCACAACAAGGTTGCCCCAAGGCGCTTAACAATACAATTGACGATACATTTTGGGTTTTTTTTTTTCAATACAGAACAAAAGACCAGAAAACCACGGAGGAGAGGAACCAAAAACTCCTTAGTAATGAGAGAAAAAAACCTCTAGTGGTCCAAGGTCAACTGGTTGCCCAACCCCTCTGGGCATGCTAACATTATATAATTTAAAAAAGGAAACGATGAGGGTATTAATCCATCCAGCCATCATGTCTTCTGTGCGCAGATCTCTGTAGACCAGCAAAGTCCTCCTACACGATAGCTATATCCACGATGTCCCTCTTGGATCCATGGCAGTGATGCAGCATCCAACTCAGATGGTGCCCAGCCCGGGCTCCATCCGGACATGTGGAGAGGAGAATAGGATAGTTGGGTCAGAACAGATGTATCTACCTGGTGGGCCAACACAGGGACACACAATGTCAGGGACAGCAGCACCAGCAGCCATGGTTGCAGCAGGCTATAATGTAAGGCTATGTGTCTATGTGTCTATGCTCTGCTCCTTATTCCCCATTTGTTACGAAGCTTTTTTCAGGACCCTATGCAGACGGCAGAATCGGGGTGGGAGTGAAACAGACAGAGGGAGTAGAGGAGGAACTGGACTGGTAGGCGAACAGCGGGGCGTGGTCCAGGCGAACAAGGCCAAGGGAGTCCAAAGGGAAATCCAGAGCTAATAGCAAGAGTCCAGAGCCAGGTGATCCATCCAGGACAAAACAAGACAAAGTTGAAAACCTGAACGGGATCCGGTGCAGGGAGAGGGAATAAAAATGGGGCTGACGGGACCAGGCGCTCTGAGCCCCGGACTCAGCTGGGTCGGGACGTTGATAGGAGGCCTATGCTCTCAAGCTGCTGGTGTAGGGCGACTTGGTGGTAGGTGGGCCTCCGGGCGTCTGTCTTCCAATGCACAGCCTGGAATAGAGTGAGCGTCTGGCTTTTAAGGAGTAGCTGGATTGGAGGCAGGTGCACATGATCAACTAAAATGTGAAAGAGCCGGAGCGCCCTTAAGAGGAGGGATTACAATCGTGACACCATTCCTCTCCACCCTCCCAGTGCGCATATTAACA